ATTAATTTTAATTCTCAATTCAACTTTCAGAAAATATTGGTACAGCTTGCCTAAATTATATTACTTTAAAGTGGATTTCCCCACTGCCCAGGTATAACTCATTGAGACAGAGCTGAAAGCTTTAAGGGTACTGTTTTCCACAGGCCTTTGTAATCGTGAGACAGAGCCTAGTGACATTTGGCTCTTGAAAGCATTTTACAGGTTAAGAGAAACAAGTATAAAATAACCAATGCCTGCTTAGGGTCAAGCTAAATACTATGACATTCTTCTCTATTCCAGTGGTTCTCAAACTTTTTTTTGTACCTAAGAATCACTTGGGGAAGTTGTCAAAAATACATATTCTCAGGGCCTCAGTCTCAGATACTATGGTTTACCGAGTCTGTGGCAAATTCAGGAGTATTCATTTTAACAAGTCTGGCAGGTTAAGTCCCCTTGCAGAGGGGCCCCTCCCACTCCACTGAACCTGATTTCTTAAAGATTTCCAGTGATGTCTTAGAGGTTAATTTCCAGTGATGTCTTAGAGGTTAAACCCTCCTCTCATGAGCTCCTTGACTTTTTGGTAGCTTCTACCACACTGACCTTGCTTTCTCCTCATGATGATTCCTCCACCTTCTTCTTTGCCTGACCCTTAAATGAAACCATTCCTCAAAGACCAATGCCCAGCTACTTTACCCTTTCCCTCAGTAAGCCCCATCGCTGGGTAAGCACGCCTTCATCTATACAGTATAACTGCTGTGCAGAAGTTTCTGGCATCAAACTTCATGCTTTCTCCTGGTTCCAGCTGCACGTTTCTAACTGCCTCTCAGTAGTCCTCAGGCTCCTCAAACACTGGGGCCAAAATGTTCCTTGCCCCTCTACATACTCTCATGAACTAAGCTCTTATCAATCACTCTTTCTGACAGTCAGTCTTGAAGACTTGGAACCTTCTTTACCTGTCTCTCATTCCCAGTATCAAAGCAGTTGCTCAATCCTAGTCTAGCCATAAAATTCTCCTTACAGTTTTTCATGCTTTTGTTAATGTCCTAATTAAGGTCTTTAAAATATCACCAGTTCCACCTTAAATGGTTCTCTTCCCTTCAACAACCTCCTTGAAAAGCCACTTGAATGATCTGATCAAGTGCATCACTGATTAGATCACCTCTTTGCTCAATGACTCTCAGAGCCTGCAGTGAATCCAGAGGTGTTATTTTTCTGTTGCTCAAGACTATCCACTAAAATCTCCCAACTGGTCTCTTTCCCAAATGTGGCTAGTCTCTCTACCACCCACTACCAGTTCTATCATTCTTCGAGGTCCAATTCAAGAGTATCCTAAGTTCCCTAGAAGGAAAGCAAAATAGGCATTGTAGGAGGTTAGTAAGGGAAATACCCTCAACTTCTGTTGTTTAGTTATATTTAATGGTACAAAAGGATTTCAAATGACTGTTAAGAGTTAATGTTCAAATACCAAACACATATTAATTAGAGGCTTGATGATCTTAAGCAAGCAGTTTCAATAATAATAATTATAACAATATTAGTTATTATTGTAGAGACCATCTATGGAGAATTTACCATGTACTTCAAATACATCACTTTGTACACTGACAACAATTTGTCAGAAACAGAATTGTGACCTTCATTTCACAGATAAAGAAAATGGATTTCCCAGAATTCAGACCAAGATGGCAGAGTAAGAGAACATGGACCTCACCTCCACACATGAACACATCCAAAATACATCTACATGTGGAACAATTCTCACTGAAAACAAATTGGAAACTGGCAGGAGGACTCCTGTACAACCAAGAAAGATACACATAGAATTGAGTAGGAAGGGAAGAGAAGCATTTGGGTCAGGATCTGTACCCCTGGGAGGGAACTCAGAGGAAAAGAGAGATTAGACAGGCAGAGACCTATCCTGGGAAGTGAGTGATACAAGCCCCAGGTTGGGTGCCCCAGTCCTGAGGGCCTATGTGGGGGAGAAAAGTGCCCTTGGCTGGTTGGAGGACCAGTGGTACCAACAGGAGGGCTGTGGGAAGCCTGGATTCCTCTTGGGAAGAGCACATGCACACCGGCTTTTCCCCTGGCAGGGCGGAGAGAGGTCGATCCTAGCGGCTGCTGGATTTCTGGCAGCTGCCTCACCACATGCACCCCAGCTCAAGCCCAGCCAATGCTCCAGCCCCACAGACTCCACATCACAGTGCAGCAGTGGACCTGGGACAACAAGGACTAGGGAGAAGACTTGACTGTGGGATGCAGAGGTGAGCCGGTGCCAAGGCAGAGCCTGGGTGGGACAGCGGCAGCCATTGGTGGCACTTACTCAAGCAGTGCATCAGAAGCGACCCAGATCTCTGACTGTGGCCCCCCATACACACAGAGTCCGTGCGCGTCCTGCCTGCCTTGCGGAACAGTTCTATGACACCGTAGGGGCAGCAGAGGTCGGGGCAGTGATTGACTGTAAGGGATGAAGGTGACTTGCACCAGAGGCTGTGTCTGAGCAGAGCCACAGGCACCTGCACAGGCAGTTTATCGGACCTCTGTCTGCAGCTGACATGAGCTGAGAGCCTGCATGGGCCCCACCTGCTTTAGTACTTCCCCCTCTGGGGCAAGGGGCCTGGTGCAGGGAGAGGGAAAAACACACACTTAAAGGGAACAGAGCCAGTTCAGGCCATACCTTCAGGGCTTCTGCTCCAGCGACGTGGGATTAGACCCTGTCCCCGGTAGGACAGTGACAGTCGCTAAGCAGAGGCAAAGCCATGCCTCATGTCCTGTGCAGGCTCTAGTCCCTCCAGCACCAGCCACACCCCCTACCAAGGTGACAGCTGTCTGCACACCCTGAGAAAAGATGTGACTTGCATCTACATCAAATCCAGCTCTTTCACCAAAGGCATTGGGCAAACACAGTCTGTATGGGGATACTCTCACATAAGATCACCCCTTGAAGACCGCAACAGGTAACTGTTTTACCTAAACTGATAAAGGCAGACAAAGTTAAGCAAAATAAAAGGGCAGGTGAAAAGTTATGACACTGTCCACAAGTGCTGCGCACTGACTGACAGAGAAGACTTAAACTTCAATGTATCATTGAGTGAGCTCTAAGTTTATGCCGACAACTATTAGAAGTGGATTTAGAGTATTTGGAATGTAAAAGCATATTGCAAATGCATAGGTTGATTGTTGAACATCTAAGTAAGCTTACTGTATAACAGAGTAATTAATTTACTGTCATATACTGATTTACTTCATTAATATCTTGCTGTCTTAAAGCTCTTAAAAGATTATCTCTGATTCCAGTACTTAAGATTGTTTAGAGCTTCCTAAACAAAAGGGCTCCATCTAGTGGAGCAATTCAATCATTTAGCAAGACAGACAGAAGTAGCAAGGTTAAATCCCTTACACTGAGGCCTAACAGTAGTGACAGTCTCAGAGAGATCATGTTTGCTCTGACATGCACAGTGCTTAGCTTTCACCATGCCTTGATAAAAAGGAAGAAGGTGAAGATGCTACAGACAGAGGTAAGGTACATGCAAGTACGCTGGGATTTGCTATATAAATGCAAGGCATTGCCCATCGTCCTGGTAAGATACCAAAGCGGCTCTACTCTGTGGAGTTAAAAACACTAACATAGGAGCACCCTCGCGAAGCTTTGGAAAAAAACAGAGTGTGAAGGTTACTGTTATCCCTAGTAACTAGGACAAAGCCCAGTATTGTGTAGGTACTTAAAAAATGTTTGCTGAGGGGCTTCCCTGGTGGCGCAGTGCTTGAGAGTCCGCCTGCCGATGCAGGAGACGCGGGTTCGTGCCCCATTTCGGGAAGATCCCACATGCCGCGGAGCGGCTGGGCCCGTGAGCCATGGCCACTGAGCCTGCGCGTCCGGAGCCTGTGCTCCGCAAATGGGAGAGGCCACAACAGTGAGAGGCCCGCATAACGCAAGAAAAAAAAAAAAAAAAAAAAAAAAAAAAAATGTTTGCTGAGAAAGTTCACATACTTTTATATGGTCAATAAAAATTCTATGGTTGAATAACTTCTAAAAGAACTACACAGTAATACTTCAATTATATGTGATTCCTTTCTTTCACAGCCTCAATTAGCTGGATATGGGAAGCTCAAAATTTCCTCAGTACATCCAAAAAAAAAAAAAATCAAGGTTTGTCCTTCAAGTGTTCTCATTTATATTCTCTTTCAACAAGCATTCACTGAATATTTCCAACCTGTACTAGTTGCTGATGGTAAAAAAAAAAAAAAAAAAAAAAAAAAAAAAAAAAAAAAAAAAAAAAAAAAAAAAAAAAAAGTTGGTGATGGTAAAAAAAAAAAAAAAAAAAAAAGAAAAAGAAAAAAAAATCACAAATAGCAAAATACTAAGAAATTCCATTAGTTTAGACATATTCAAAATTAAAACCCAAAGTCCACTGCAGATGAGAAGAATCAATTTGGACTGAGAGAAGAGGAAGCAGGCACCTTAGAAGCAAGCACATGAAGAGCAGCAAGATATAACAATTCTTGTCCTTTTAACAATGGAGCGGAAGGTAAAATCTGGAAACCCTGAATGAACTACTGCACTCAAACACCAGAGCCGCCTGGGGCAATCAGCTCTACAGCACCATAGTGGCCATTAAGAATAAGCAGTCTTTAATGCATGTTCATGAGGCTTCTTCCAGAAAAAAAGTTCTATTAACTTTTACAAGTCAAATATACACATTTGAAAAATTTCCACAAACTAACTGTTATCAAAGGAGTCTTTGGTATGCAAAGGGTTACAGCAACTTGTGTCTTTCAGAAAAGCTCTTTGTTTAGAACCCTTCCTTTGTGAAGGTTTTAGCGAACAAGGCACTGCTGTAACATTTTGACATGCTAAATGCTGTATATGGTCATGACCACTTCCCCGTGAAGACAGCGGAGGTGGATTTGACCATCTGCAGACCTGAGGAGCAGAGCTGTCAAAGATGACCTGCCATGTCAACACAAGGCAACAATGTCACCACTATTTTATGTTTTTTACTTGAAGAGTTTTGAGAACTTACCGCCCAGAAGAAACTGACTTAAGTGAACCAACGTTTTCAAACAGTTGGGCCTTTGCTGCCACACTGAAAAATAATTTTAAAATACAAGTTTCATTAAAATCCATTAGAAAATCATGCAGCTCAAAGCGAAATTCAGGGTTATCAGTTAACCCAAACAGAAAAATTAGTTAACATTTGTCCCCAAAATTTGACCTGAATTTGACCTTGTTTTAAGCTTTAATGTAGAAGAAATTTTTCGGTCTAGTCTCTAGCTCACCGAGTACCAGACAGTAATAAACCTATAGCTACTTCCTCTGGGGATCTTACTGCCTGCATTTTTGTACCTGAGGAAACCCTGGGAGCAGAAAAAAAGGAACACTTTTTTATTGACTCCTGTGGAGCCACAAGGGAAGAGTCACATCAACAAGACAAAAGAACTGTTTTGTGTTCTGATAGCTAAGACAAAACTAATTCTAAAATTGTTTCATGTATTTTTAAAATACTTGAACACAGTTCTTATAAAGTGAAAAGAGAGAACTCTGAAAATATGACCAATAAATAAATTTGTTTCAAATCATGATGAGGGAAAGGCATCTATTTGAAAAGTGAGACTATTGGGTAGAGAGTGTGAAGAACTAAAACTAAAGTACCCTAGATAATTAGAAAAATTCCTATGTTTACTAGAAGAGAATATAAAATTCTTTGAATGATTTTTTAAACTAGATATTTAAAAACTATCTTATTTCTTTAAATGACAAACTTTTTTCCCAGAGCTGAGCCATTTGATAATGTGAAGGATCATTTTACACCTAATACAGAACATACAGTCTCTACATTTTAATTTCTACTTTATCAGTAAAAATCACAAAATAAAAGCTCTTCTCTTTCCCCCACAAAGGATAGAGTTTATATTCTCCCATCTTCCTTGACATATTTGGCTTAAAATTTAATTTCCCTTAAGGGCTAGAACTATACACACCAGAACTAGAGCAGACAGAGTTACAAATATATCTGCCTATATCGTGGTAGCTGGATTTCTGAACATGAGAGATAACATATGTGAAACACACTCTGAAACCAAAGGTTCTTGTCAAAGAAAGGGATGTACTAATAAATTTAATATGCTGTTCCTATGGAAACAGGCTTAGTAAAATGCCTTACTGGACTTGCAATGAATAATTAAAATGTCAGGAATACCACCATATTAAAAATGGGCATGGCATAAGAGAAATAGCACAGACTCAAGTTGGAGAACCCTGGGTTACAATCCCAGCTCTGCCACTTACTGGCTGAGTGTGTGTGGACCTTAACTTTCCAGTATTAGTTCTAATTATCTCTAAAACAAGATTTATACTACCTACTGCAGAAGGACACTGTGGATCTTAAAAGAAATAACAATATGCAAGGATGCTCAGTAATAGCTCATACAGCATTTGGAAAAGCTCAGCAAAAGTCAGGAAAATAAAATGAAAGGGAGAAAAACTTTCCTCTTCGGATTCTCTTACTTGCTTTTCCAGTTTCTCATTTTCTCCTCTGTGCCCCCTTTCTGTTCTCATCTATACACCCTACCCTCTCGGCCTTTACACCTCTGGGTCATTTCTTTCAATTAGAAGCACTCCCTCTTGCCTTTCATGTTCCCTGTTCTCTCGGAGTTTAAATCAGTGAGTATGCAGGTAGGGGAGACATACGATGGAGAGGAGAGAAAACCAACCCTCACCAGATAGAAAGCAGCTATATTTCTAACAAAGAGAGGGAGGGTCAAGGATATGGGCAGTCCCCACAGCTGAGTGGTGGATGTTTAGCTTTTACAGGAAGGCATCTAGTTTCAAAACCCCAAACCACTATATTATACATCTGTTTTCATGTCTTTAAATTAAGCCATAGCCCTGCTTCTAAGGAAAGTGCCTGAAGAGTCTCCCCATGAGATTTTATATGTATATCCTAAGCGTACTAACTTTCACATCACTTGTAAAAGAGGACAGGGTCCTGTAGAAGTTGACAGCACCCACTCCACAGATGAGCATTTGGCTGTGGGAACCCTAAGAGTTCTTATGCACACACTTAGCCCCTGTATACCCCTGGGAAGCACAGCAAATAGCAAACAAAGGCTCTCTCACTTACACGGAGCCGGGTCGCTGGTAACCATTGCTGGAGGCAGCGTCTAGCCTTAACTTCCTGCACATTTTGGGAGGCAGATCTGGGTTTGGCGGGGCTTTGGGCGTCTCTTTGGAACCTATGGAAGTTAAGCTTTGAATGGATCCACTGTAGCTCTTGTTTCCTAAAGAGAAAGCCCAAGAAAACAGGCAAGGTGCTATTAGACAAAATAAGAGCCGTAACACAGTCCATGCGCATAACAAAAGGAGGCATTTTTCTCTGAGCCCAAATGAGAAGGGACAGAATGTTCTTTGAGCACAGCAGCCCATCACTCTGGGAGATCACAGTCTACCGTAACTACAAAGACATCACCTCACAGAGATGGAAAGATCCAGAAAAAATGTCACAGCATACAGGAGTTTTAAAAATCCTAGCTCAGGAACAAAGCAGTTAAGCATTGTCTGTCCCTTCACTATTAATTTTTCCCTCCTTAACCATACTGAACAATCCAGTAGGTGACACAGGGACAATGACATCCTGCACAGGCTCTATGCTGGCTTACCTTCCGCTGCAGAGATGGATCTGAGAGAGGAAGCTGAGGCTCTTTTCAGTCCTGAAAGCCCATAAGGCCCTTTCTTGGCCAGGTCTATGGGTGGGGACGCATCCCCTGGGCTAGCGACCGAAGTGACACTCTGGCAATCTGATTCTGCATCTGTTTTGGTTGCATCTTCTCTAGAACTTGACTCAGGACTAGTTGTCCAGAGACCAAGACTTTTCTGTCCATTGGAAGGTGATGGGGATGCAATCCAAGGAATCCCTCCAGATTTCTCCCTGGGAGGGCAGGAAGAGGACTTTGTCGTGCTGTTTTGTTCAGATGAGTGAGAGGAAAGTGACTCAATGCTCCCCATGGGTGTGCTGTCCGGGCTGCTGCTATAGGAGTCGCCTGAGCAGGGGCAGGGGTGGGAGAGAAAAGAACAGCGGCTCTCTGTTGAAACCGGCACCCCCAAACCCTTCTGTTCTCCAGCTCTCATGTGCTCCGTGGCCACCTGACCCCATTGAAGTGATAGGGCCTTTACGTGCTATGGAGGACTGTTCCTCAGTTCTGGAGAAATGCTTTAATATATGCATTTGAACTTGGTGAACGCTTTTTTCAATACTATTCAAGGGAGCTTTTATATGTGCCCTGCCCAGATGAAATAATGTTATTTCTTGAAGTATTAGTGGGCTAACTTGAATTCAGACAAAATTTGCTTCTGAGACAGGACTCACAAGTATGAGAAATAAGATTTCTTGATGATATTAAAGAAATCAATGGAAGGGGGAAATGCTGAGACATATGTCTGCCTTCTTTTACTTTTCTGATCTTAGGTGATTCTGAGTTACAATGGTATCTGAGTCCTCCTTCATTCAAAGGCACCATTAACAGTCAGCTGCAAGTTATAAGCTCCTGCAAATGTTTAAAGAAAGGATTTTTCTCCTTTTTCTGCTAAGAATGTAGCAACATAAGAAAACTGGCTATTTTAACTGGCTGTATTTTTTAATGTTTCTACAAGTACGGTATAAGAAAAAAATCAGAGAAACTGTAATAAAGTATTCAAATAGTAGATCTAAATTAAAAATTAAACACTGATTGTGGGGAAAATTGGGAGTGTGGGGAGAGGGTTGGGAGTCGAAAATAAAATGAAAATGGCCACAGTTTAACACATGCTTTGGGCTCAAGCTGCCACCCACCTTATGGTGGGGCTTGGCTCAGAATAGTAAGTTAGCAATAATGTGTGGTGTAGATTCTCTTTTTATTTCTTTTCTCTCTGTTTCAGACCCTTTGATACCCAAGAGATGATGCTTTAAGAACATAATGTGAAAGGAAGAAAGAAAATGACTGCCTCAGCCAGGCTTTCTCTTGCTTTCTTCTCTATGACTTTGACAACAGGACAAAACCTGCTACGAAGTAGCACCCGATGTACTTAATCACCGTTACAGAGAAAAAGGGCATTGCACAAACTATTTTTTCCCTTTGTATCAGGAATGAATTTGCTTGTCCAAGGTACCTTCCAACTATACTGACAGAGACTACGTAATGTGGTGGGTGGGGGGGGCAGGTGTTGGGACGACAGCACCAGTAAGAATATCTTCTATTTCTACCTACGTACTAATAAGGTGTGATAAAGCCGAATTAATGAAGAAGGCATCTCCTTGAGGCCAGTACACTTACTATCGGGTTCTGCCAAGCACGGGGTATACCTCCCTCTGGGCTTCCGGGAGCCTGTGGAGAGGCAAATTGCACGTGTCCTTCGGGATCCAGATCGAGACTGAGGCTGAGGAAGAGGGATGCTTGGGTCTGGGGCAGTATGAAAAATCTACGTAGAAGAAAAATGGACCGAGGTCAATAAAAAGGTGAAATTGACATTTTCGTCATAAAATTGGCTTTGAGAGCTATTAAATAATCTTAGAACTATAGTTAGTTCATCAATTGCATGGCAAGAGATGCTTGATACAAAAAATAAATATCCTAGAGCATTTATAACTTTTCCATTTACACTGAGTAATGCTCCCTCTGGGTTTTCTTTTTTATCCTTTCCCATTCCCCAATAGTGAAATTCAGATTTTCTAATAATTTTAAGAAATGTGTCAAATATTAACAAATGTCTATGTCAAGACACACTGATTCTTTTTACTATGATATTCTCTTTCACCTTCATGCTGAACATAACCTGAGGGGAAGAGGCTCGTTTTGTATCATTCCCCAGCTGAGCAGCCCCTTGCTTCTCAGGAGAAGGTGCTGGCATGCTGTTGGCCCTGAACTGTCAAGAATATGACAAGCTGCAGGCAGAAGTCTGAGCACAGCTATAGGATGCAGCTGTGCACTCTTGGGTTTTAAGAGCGCTTACAGTCTTAGCTAGGTACCAAGGATATCCTTCTACAGGCACTAGAAAGGAACTGGGGAAGGAGAGAGGCGCTGCCATCCTCTCACAAGGACTAGATCAGACATAAATGGATCACAATGTTTAGACCTTCAATGGCTGAGTATGCTTAATAATCCAGTCAACTTGGCTCTTCCAATTTCTCACTTTTATAGTTATTCTAAGATCTCACTCTTTTAGAGAAAGCCTCCTTAGGGATTGGATATAGAGAGGGTTTCAAGACTGTTCCCTGATTATTTTCTTTTGTTTTATCTAGAATATTAGCTCTGCTGTATAAGGAGAGTCTAATTCCAAAAAGTTTAAAAAAGTTAAAATAGACTTAACCGCAAAATGATTCTATTTTCTGAGTATGAGTAAAAAACTAATTATATAAATACTAAAGAAGAAAATCTTGACAAGTAAATAATGTCAAAAGAAAGGAAATCATTTACTTAGGGGATTTTGAGAAGCACTTAAAAACTGAACAAGAAAAAAAGAAAATCAAAGTCCTCATGAAGAAGTAATTTACACAAAATTTACAAGACTGATACCAAATAGGAATCTGAGATCACAATGTGAGGATCATAGATGATACAAATGCAAAATTTCTTCTTAGAAACCAGATACAATTTTATACTTCTGCATGAAAATTCAGTCTACCTTTTCATAGTGCTCTATCAGAATTTCAACCACAATATTCTGAAATTTAATATTCATCATGGCAGCCACAGTTTCTTCCTGTGCTCTCATTAGAGTTGGACCAAATATGACACCAAGGTTTGAGACAGTCATGAGATTTTGCTGGCTATGTAGTGACACTCTGCAAATAAGAGGAACAAAATATTTTAAGTTATATGTTTAATAATTCTTAAATGTTCTCATCCACTAAACTTATGGCATAAAATATAAACATGCCATTACAGGCTAACTTTCCCAAATAGTCAGGTTCAGCTAATCCCAACTGGCATTAGTGGGTATAGTCTAAAAAGATGTAAAAAGTTAACACTGGCCAAAGTAAAACATAATTACAAAGGTTAATCTATTGAAGGAAAAAATCTTGATTTCCTAAATTCAGTTCAATCACCCTAGAGAGATTATCAGCTGTTTGGTATTTCCTACAGTACTATACTTCTTTTAGAACAGATGGTTAAGAGTAGACTGGTTGTCAGTCATAATGGCCATCATTAAAAAGCCTGCAGATAACAAATGCTGGAGAGGGTGTGGAGAAAAGGGAACCCTCCTACACTGTGGGTGGGAGTGTAAGTTGGTATAGCCACTGTGGAAAACAGTATGGAGGTTCCTCAGAAAACTACAAGTAGAATTACCATATGATCCAGCAATCCCATTCCTGGGCATGTAACCAGACAAAACTATAATTCAAAAAGATACATGCACCCCTATGTTCACAGCAGAATTATTCACAATAGCCAAGACATGGAAACAACCTAAATGTCCACTGACAGATGAATGGATAAAGATGTGGTACATACATACAATGGAATACTACTCAGTCATAAAGACAAATGAAACAATGCCATTTGAAGCAACATGGATGCAACTAGAAATTACAATACTAAGTGAAGCAAGTCAGAAAGAGAAAGAAAAATACCATATGATATCACTTATGTCACTTACATGTGGAATCTAAAATATGACACAAATGAACCTATCTATGAAACAGAAACAGAATCATGGACATAGAGAACAGACTGGTGGTTGCCAAGTAGGGAGGGATGGAGTGGGAGGTTGGGGTTAGCAGATGTAAGCTTTTATATAGAGAATGGATAAACAACAAGGTCTTACTGTATAGCACAGAGAACTATAGTCAACATCCTGTGATAAACCATAATGGAAAAGAATATATATATAAAAAGAATGTGTGAGTGTGTGTGTGTGTGTGTGTGTGTGTGTATAACTGAATAACTGTGTTGTACAGCAGTAATTAACACAACACTGTAAATCAACTATACTATTTCAATAAAAATTTTTTTTAAAAAAAGTAGAGAAAAGGAGTAGACTGGTTATAATTATATTCGGATTCACTAAACATATATTGAGAACCTATTGCCAGGCATTTTCATAGATAATATTGCACTTAATCCTCCCAGGAAGCCAGTCATTTTCTATTGTACAGATTTTTCAAAAAGAAGCTCCTCAAGTAAAAATGATGTACCTGAGGTCACAGCAAATTAGGAACAAAGATTTTGTTTCAAACTGGGTCTCCTGACTTCAAGTCAAGAGTACCCCTGAGCTCCCCACATAAGATGACTGGTTAGGGCATGTTTCCATCCTACTTCCCTTCTATCCATCCACCATCCACCATCCATCCAAAACTTCCCTAAGTGCCTCCCTAGCGCTGAGCACTGGGCTAGGCAAACAGTAAGACAAGGAGATATGGTAGCATCAGTGCTGGCCTGAAAATGAAAATAAAATGAAAGGGCTCTGATACTACTGACCTTAGAAAAGTAATCCCAGTAAACTCTCAAAAATGACTTTGACTAGTTAACTGATTTAATTTGGAAATTGGATGCATTAATAGGAAATTTCATTTATTTAACCAGTCTCCTAGGTTAACCACTGCCTTTTCTATCTTACTCCCAGCCAGGTTGTTAGAATATAAAGTTCTAGGAAGGAACACAAGATAATGTTTATATCTGATTGAGTATGCACACTAACTTCATTCTAGAAACAAAAGTAAAATTTTATGAGGAATCTAGGATTCTGGATTATCCATGCGACTTTTGACATAGGACAGGAAGAGCTGACTGTCCCACTGACTGAATTTTCCCCTTGTGCCCAAGACAGCACTAGCTAAGAAGGTTCTTGGTTAGTATAAGAATTTTATTCCAAGTTTCCTTTTTATACAACCAAATATTATATTAATTGCTTAATATGTATTAGAGAGTCTACTAAGTCATCTGTAAAGGCAGTGAGCCTGTCTGTATTTAAAGCTTGGGTCTTTCCAACTTGGAAGCTGCGTGCAATCAGTCATATTATTTAATACCTCTCTCTAGGTTTCAGTTCCCTCATCTATAAAGTATAAGAATGACAATCCTTAGAGCAGTGTTGAGAAAATTAAATAAAATGAGTTAAATTGAATAAAATATGGTCTTAAAATAATATTCTTCCCTGTAATTAAATTGACTCTAGGCACTCTTGATGTACTCTAAAATGTAAGAATTCCTGGTAATATAAGTAACCTAGAATATGACTGAATTAAGCTCACTGGGAATAAATTTAGAAATCAGAAAAAACTGGTCTGTTTTGAAAAGGAGAGTTAATGACTATGGTGTTCAGAAGATAAAATATTTTGATCACCTATTTTCTCTTCATTGAATTTCCCTTCTGCTGAGCTAGTCAGTCAGTACAGACCCTTATCATTCCACATTTCAGCCAGTTCTGGAACTCATTCCCTCAACTTGTACACAAAGCAGATTCCACAGATGTCCTTGTTTTAAAGATAAAGTATTCTCAGAAATACATCAATGATTTATACCATGTCTCAGAGTTAATTAATGGAGATTTGGAATCAGTCATTGGTCCTTTAGGCCAGTGACCAATCCAGGTCACTGATCTTAAATTCTCTTTTCTTAAGTCAATAAGGTGGCCAGGGACCAACAGTATTATTAGTTTACTTAAGTAAGTCATTGGTGATGTGGGCACACATTCTACTGCTGCTGCTCAGACAGTGGAGACTGACCTTTTACAGATTCAAGAAAGAGCCAGGAATGGTGGTGAAGGTTGGGCAGAAGAATTTTGAATACTCTTCAGTGGCTAGACACTCTCTCTCTGCTATTTCCTGTATCACATTCATAATTAAAGGTGAAACTTGTGTTCATCTAACATTCTGAATAATTAAGCAAAAACATTTTATGTGACACTCATGAAACTTTAAAGGTACATTTTAAAAGGCTTTTCTAAAAAATTAGCTTGAATACAGCAAGAGAATGCCCACTAAATACAGTATGGATAAGTTTCATGAAGAGGTCACAGAACTCAAAAACATAATTCAAGACTATGTAATTCTGACCAAGGATAGAGAGTCCCTGTTCATTAGCTAAGAGGTGTTGATATGGGCAATAGTTAAAAATGAACCTGAAATGAAGTCATTCCTAGTGGAGTTCCTTCTTATTTCAAGGAGGGTAAATTCATATTATCTCAAAGTCTGCAAGTTAAGATGAGGCTGATTAATGTACATCACTGTTTCAAATGTGCATGGCTCATATTAGGATACATTGGGTTACTACTTGTAGCAAACAAGGACAGATTAACCATTTGATTGTGAATCGTGGTACTCATTAAGACAAAAAATGTTCCTATTTGTAAATGGGGCTATAAGGGAATTTTTAAGTAAGTTTGAAACCTGAATTTGGACTTTTGTTTCCAGCAGCATGGCTAACAAACTTCTTGATTAAATGTGTGTGTGTGTGTGTGTGTGTGTGTGTGTGTGAGAATCAAGATAGATCTGTGATGGCTAAAGTTATGTGTCAAATTTTCTAGGCTGCAGTACCCTGATATTTGGTGAAACATAATTCTAGATATTTCTGTGAAAGTACTTTTAGATGACATTAACCTTAAAATCAGTAGGCTTTGAGTAAAGTAGACAACTGTCCATAACATGGGTGGGCCTCATCCAATATCAGTTCAAGGTCTTAAGAGAAAAAGACTGAGGTCCCTGAGGAAGAAGGAATTGTGCCTCAGGCTGCCTTGGATTCAAGCTGCGACATCAACTCTTCTCTGGGTCTCCAGCCTGCCTTGAAATCAGCCTCTGCAATTGTTTAGCCAATTCCTTGCAATCAATCAATCTCTCTCTTACACATATGTGTGTGTATGTATGTATATATATATATATATATACATATATGCATATATGTGTGTATATATATATACATATATGTGTGTATATATATACATACACACACAATATCCTATTGGTTCTGTTTCTCTGGAGAAACTTGACTAATACAATATCTATCAAGATTTTTAAATACATAGATGAACTAACAGCGGAGTTAGAAAGATCTTCAGAGACCGACAGATACTATGAATCTGGAGAAGGAAGCTAACATTCAAGTGGCAGTTTGACCTGGTACAACCTGGTGACCCTAGTAGAATAGAGAACTGGTCTTCAAACTTTGGGCTTACAATGTATCTAAAAGAACTGGCAAAGAGCTATATACCCCTTCATATATTTTTAAGTTGACATGAAAATTTTCCATCATTAGTATAACGGTTGCAAGGATATAATTATTTGCATGTCGTAAACATACACAGGTACACACACACGTATAGATGTATCTTAAAAACAAACTGCCACATCATTTTTTAAGCACATTCAATGGACTCTGATTATAATAGCAAGGTTATAGCTCTATCACATCCTTTAAAAAGACATGAACATGCTTAACAGATGAACCAGTAATTAAGTGAACAATATAAGTCAGAGAATTACTTGACCAGGTGCTTTATTAAGATGTCCAGCATCTCTCTGTTTTTCTCTGGCAATTTGTGCACTAATGCATGTACAGCCTCCACCCGGTAGTTTTGGTCATCAGACTCTGTAACATAAAAAAGGTTGCAAAGGTTCAAATTTTAATTGTATTAAAATGCATATATAAACATTAGTAATTAAAGTATCATAACCACTTCCACCCATTGTGCCTTATAAGCACTGCTTCACATGGTGAGTATTATCACTATCATTTCCTAAGGCTTAGAGACGTTGAGTAATTTGTCCATGGTCTGCAATCAGTAAGTAGAGAAGTCAAACCCAGTTCTATCTAATCTAGACATGTGCTCTTAGCCCCTGAGCTGTATACTTCCATACAACCATAATTCATCTCCTCCTTGGGTTTTGCTACACAAGGATAGAATAAAACCTTTAGCAACGTGAGTGATCACAGCAGTTGTTGCAAATGGCCTAATGTGCCAGGCACTACAATACACTCTAACACATTGAAACCTCCAAGTGATTCCATCAAACCAGAGGAAGCAGGTATTCCTTTCCAAATTTTATAGATCCAAAGATGGCAGGGAGTTATTTTTGTGAGGTGTCAGGATTATTACACAAACAAAGGCCTGGTAGATTTTTAAGCCCACGCTGACAATGGTAAATCTGAAAAGCAAAAAAATCATCTAAAGCAAGTCTAGTCTACAAGGCAAAAACCAAGATGTTGACAAGTCTTCTAGAGAAACTTCTAATGCTTCAGAACAAGGAATCTATTTAACAGTCTCTTACTACAATAAACAGATTCTGGGTTGACTGCTCACCCTGCCAAGCCCTTTCTTCAGAAAGTGCCCAACACATAGGGTTTATATTATGGGAACTTCATCTCTTCTGGGCACAGCTATTTGTACATGAGGTAAGGAAAGAGCCTGGCTTTGGTTGGACCAAACATGAAGTTTCTCCCAGGCGTTGGAATGGAGACACCAAAACTGATCTGCCTGCTAGATGTGTGAAAAGGCACATCATGTAAAACCAGGTAGAAAGCCAAGAGAAATCTGTCTGGAAGCGAAGATAAGAATGAGGCAGATATGCAGCAAAGAACAAAAATGAGAGACCCTCCAAAAAGAGTTGGGAGGATGGGCAGAGAAACATCTATTTCCTACTCTGAGGTTCCTGGTTGCAGGCCATGGAAGGCAGAACCCATCCTCTGCCAAGGAGTTCTGAGGGACTCCTCTTATTCTCTGAATAACTCCCCCTTTTTCCTGAGCTGGATTTCTCTTGCTTGAACCCAAATAATACCTAATTTTATGATCCTTGACCCAGACAAAAGATAAATTCTTATACATAAAACATATTTTAATTATCATGGTAGTGAATAATATGATTATTATTTGTCACAGAAGTGAAGAAAAAAAAATCTTGTGACCAAATGTTTGTATCAGAAAAACCAGCTCATTGAGCCATTCTAGCTAAGTGGATCAAACACCGTTTTCTATAAAACTAAATTTTTGTAAGAAAGTGTTCTAGGTTAAGGGTCAAAAAAGCTGGCTTGTAGTCCTGATATTGCTATGAATTTACCAGTGTCCTTGGACAAAGTCACCTGCCCTCTCTGGGTCCTGATTTCCTAGTTAATAAAATGAGGTTGGGGCTTCCCTGGTGGCGCAGTGGTTGAGAGTCCGCCTGCCGATGCAGGGGACACGGGTTCGTGCCCCGGTCTGGGAAGATCCCACATGCCGCGGAGCGGCTGGGCCCGTGAGCCATGGCCGCTGGGCCTGTGCGTCCGGAGCCCGTGCTCCGCAACGGGAGAGGCCACAACAGTGAGAGGCCCGCGAATCGCAAAAAAAAAAAAAACAAAAAAAAAAAAATGAGGTTGGATTATATATTTTCTAAGGTCTTGTTCTTCTTACAAAGACAGATTTCTATAAAGAGGATGTAGAGTGCAGAGCTTTCAGGAGAAAGCTAAGTAGTATAGATGTTTATGAGATCATGTGGTCAGTCATGTACGCTGGACTGAAAACCAAGATCATTCAGCTTTACCTGACACTTTTGTCAGTAGACAATACTTCCTGTGACATTACAATGTGTGGTAAACTAATGCAGCTGATTTCTTCTTAGACTGTGAAAAATACTCTTGTTACAGTCATACCTCATACATCCTAACAATGAAATGCCAACTCCTAACTGTTACAACTTGTTGTGATGGGCTCAGATGGCGACCTGGCACTTTGAGCCCAACGTTTTACAAGTATGCACTTCTAACTTCTCAAGTTACACGATTATCACTGGTCCCTTCCCCCCCCACACACCCCCAATTTTGAATTAAGCCTATCTATTCATATCACATTATGGCAGCCACAGATCCAAAGAAACAACATAAATATATGATTGTCATCAAGAAATATAAAAAGAGAGAAAAGGTGCTTGCTGCCTGCCAAAAATATCTGACTCTCCAGATTTAGGAACACAGCATGTGAGTATGTGTATAGTGGAAGCATTGGCATAACTGACTGTACAGATTTGTGGTCTTGTTTATTTAACCATGAAATTGCTCTTAAAAGAAACTGACATTCACCAATCAAGTAAAATGTAATTCGAATAATTCCTCACAGCTCTTTCTAATCACATCATACTCGCCACCCCAATAAGGTCTTATTAAGTAACAAAGTATTTTAGTTCACTCTGTGATTTCTTATAACCATATTGTAAACTATTAACCATGAGAATGACAGTTTCTTAAGCAATAGACAGGAAAATGTTAACTAGCAGATTTAAACTTACACCTCTAATACAGCATAAAACCACATCATTTATAATGCATCCAGTGGAAATGTACTTACTAACAGCAACAATAAAATCTTTGTGTAATTTGTAAGTCATCAGTGGTTCTGCGAGGCACCTACAATAGAGAATGAAGCAAATTTTAGAATGGTAGTATCTTCTGATTTCCCCTGACCTTTCAGTGCTTCTTTAAGAATTGGGTAATTAGGCATTTGATAAAGTCCTAGCAGGGAGTCTACAGGTAGTTCTAAAATGCAGACCTCAAAGATACCAATGCCCCTGAGCACTTCTTGCCACCATTCTATTTAAATGGGAGGCTGGGAGACAATTTTTTATTTTTTTTTAACTTTGTGAGAACTATTGGACCATAGGAGTAAAATCCATCTCAGATATGGGGGCAATAGTTTAAATTTTTTTTTTCAATTCAACTTGTGGTGTCTTAAAAAAATACATGAAAACCCAAATTCAAATCTAACATGAAACAGAAATTATTATTTCGTATTCATAAATTATTGCAGCCTTTTAAGTGTATTGTTTGAACAAGCACATATAAGTTCCAGAACACTAAACATAACCATTAACACCCTGTGCTATTCCACCTTAAGTGAAGGAACTGTGCTAAGGAGTGAAGCTAAGAAACAGGGGCTCCCTGGGATCCGTGGTGACTGCCCAAGAGGGTGACTGAGAAACCACAACACAGTGGCAAGAGTTAAGGCCCCCTCACCTGAGGTAGTTTTTCAGCCCACTTGTTATTGTCTTATTATCCCACAGTTCAATATCAATGTCCATATCAGGAGGGGATTTGGGAGCTGAAAAGAATTAAAATAAGATGTTTAAACTGTGCAATGCAAAACATCACTCATACCATTAAGAAAATGGATACTAACATAAGTAGGTCACAGAGAGAGGCATGTATTTCTTAGAATGCCAATGGAGTTAACTTTAGGATTGTTGTTTGCATGAGTTGGTGCAAAGCTCACTCTGACACTGAACCTCAAAGATTTCTTATGGAATATAGTTTTTCAAATCAGATGTTTGCTAATTGCTAAAATCACAGCACACTTACTATGTATTAGGCTTACAAATAAGGAGGTGAAGGCACAGAGAGGTTAAGCAAATTACCCAAGGTCACAAAGCTTTTAACTGGCCCAGTTAAGATTCCAAGTCAGGCAATCTGAATCCCAGCATCCATAAATCTTATTGTACCTCTAGCTAATCAAAGGATACTTGAGGAAAAGTCCAACATTATAAAAGGGTCCCTTCTCAAATTCTGATTGTTCATCTATTACAATGGACATTAAAAGCTGAATACAAATATTACTTTTAAATATGACTTGAAAATACTCAAAGATAAGCAATAATCTAGATCTCAAAGAAACCTATGGTTTGAATTTTCTTTAAGAATGCAAAAATTAAGTAAGTAACTGGCTTCATCCAAAACTTACAAAATGTGGTATTCATGAGTTTCTGAACTTTGGAGTTCACTCCTCCTATTCGGTAAAGACCTAAAATGGTGATGCCTAATGAGAAGGAAAAATCACAAGAAAATGGCTTAAGACACAGCTTCGGAAGTACAAAATGTTAAAAACTCAGATATATGCCTACACAAAATCTGAAAGCTATGTATACAATTTTACAGTCTAACTTTAGCAAACCTACCCTGGAAACACCCATCAGATATATATTTCTTAGAACAGACATTGAACAGTGATTTGAAAGTCTAAAGAGCTTCAAAATAGCAAAGTACACCTGCTTATTCACCACTACTTGAATATAAAAAAAGCATCCAAGATGGAAAGGGATGATCAGTATTTCTCATACTCTGTTTCCTCAGTCACAGAGTCCTGCATGTTGAACAGTTTGATGGGATTGATAGCTTCCCTTTAAAGATGAGGAAACAGATTCAGAGATTTTAGGGAACCTACTTAACTTCTCAAAACTTCTAAGTGGCAGCACCAAAATTTGAATCTAAGTTTAAAGAGCTCCAAAGCCCAATAGGAGGTTTTGCTTTAGACAAGTTTTCCAGGAAGTAAAAGGAAACTGGAGAGGACTTCAGGACCGAGGTCATAACTAGAATGAGGAAAGGTGCTGAAATTGTGACAATGACTAAAATCACTTTGAGATATAA